CCTACATTTGAAAAACTAGAGTTGGTGCTGATATCTCAAATTCTAGAAGTGTTGGTATAAATTTCATATTCTTTTCGAAATCACTCTGAAAAACTGCCATGAGAATGTGAAATTCCTATTTGAATATTTTCATAAATAAAGAAGTTACGGAGGACACATGAAAATGATCAAAATCTGTTTTTTGCGTATAAAACAAAAACGAATAGATCTTATCAACATATTTTTTCACATTATAGTTGGCCTTGACAAACTCCACATTTGGTGTCATTTAACCGACCTCGTATCTCTCACCGTTTAAAAGATACCCATGGTGAGCATGGTAAGTGGGACACACTGTATATATATATCCATTTTTTCATGTTCATAATTAATCAGAGAATAATCCTTCTCAATATGAACATTGAAATTAAGAAAATTGCTAATTTGCTTTGTGTCAGAGATAAGAAGAAGTGTCAACTCTGTATTGAATATATAATTAATCTATAATAAGCTCACTTGACAATCGACATAGTATTTTTACATTACCTAGAGATGTAGATAGAAATAACGTTTCTCATGTGTATTTGCTTGACGATAACCTTCAGATACTCGATCTTTTTCGTCTGGAATTGTATTTGATGAATTTGGAACATTTCGAAAAATTTTGGTAAAATCAAGGGCGTCCGCAGAAATAATCTCAGGGAGGGGCAAGTCACAATAAATAATGTACAATATTCACTACATATCAAAAAAACAGTTTTTGCACGACCTATAAGCGATTTTACACCAACAAAAGCGGGAATACAGGATACAGGGTATACAGAGTAGGCACTCTCTAGGCTAAAAAATTTTCCGGGATTTTTCTGGCAATAAATCTACCACTATGTTTGCAGCAGCTTCTTCAATAGTTTTTTCACACATTCCTGCAATATTTATTGAAAAAACTTTGGAAACCACACTTTTTGACGCTTTTTGATGTTCACAAAAAGCAATATGGCTACTCTTCTTTATCGGTAGTCATAATAATCAAATAACTTGATTTTGTGATTATTGTGTTCAGATTTTCATTTTCATATTGACAATAATCGATTTATAAGATTCTTTCAATTAAAATCGTCGAGTCGTGCAAAAAATGGTATATAAACCTCGGAAGTGAGTTCTTGCTTCCCTCAGTGCATTTTAGCACCCTCTGGCTACAAAACCACCTCTGGAACAATCATGCACTTTACTCTCTCGATATATAATCTACTATTATTCTACATAAAAAATGGAATAAAACAAAAGAAAATTAATTGAATTGACACCACATAGGTATTCTGTTTACAGCCAAGATTACAATAAAAAATTGCACGTGATAATAATCTTGTTCAAACAAAAATGGCATTCTCATAGAGACTTGAGCAAATTTATCAATAACTTCGTTGATAAAATTAACTCTATATCTATCTATAAGATGTCGATGAATACTAATTAAACAAAGTCTCAGAAAGTCACTATAATATGCGATAATCAGAATAGGAATTGAATAATGCAAATGTATCTTGTTTAGAAAGTATTTGAGTAAGGACCAGGGGCCAGGGGGAGGGGCGAGCGCCCCCCTTGCCTCCCCCTACGGCCGCCCCTGGATAAAGGAAATTCAAATTTGATATCATAGGGTCATAGTAGTTTTGAGACAACAAATCGAATGCGCTTAAAATAAACATAGCATTTCATTTAAAAAAATAAAGTTGAGGGCTCTATGGGAAAAACTGCAGAACTGGCAACGTTGCAAATATCATTTTTAGGTCCGGCACAACTAATTACCCCCGTATACTGAATTTCATAATTTTATGTCGAGCCGTTGCTGAAATATTCGGCCGTTTCGGTTCTTTTGGGAAACCCTGTATAACATTATGACTATATTATTCTTTTTGGGATTTAGGTATCAGATTGAAGACTACATTCATGAAAACCAACGTTTTGTCAATTCATTTTGACATCTTCATGCATAACACTGCAAGATAAAAGGGTTGTTAAAATTCATAAATTGAAATATATACATCTGATACACAATCTTCTCTCTTTGGTTCGTATTATTCCTTTTTTCAGAAACAACTACTGAACATGGTTGATTGACTACCACTGTATCACACTCAAAAAATAAGAGAGTTTTTCTTGTTAAACGAACGATGATGAACCGTAACAGCTTCCTATTTTGCCAGATGTACAGGGTGATCAGTTAAGGGTAGCAAGCGGCCATATCTCATCAGATATTGGTCGTATAGATTTGAGAAAAAAAAATCATGATGAAAGTCGCCAAGAGAAATTGCTGGAAATTATTTTTGAGTTTATCAAACCTCCGCTAGTAAAAGTATATCGATGATATCATTTTCATATTGAATGACCATATCCCTACATTTTTTGTCTGAAACGTTTTGTTCTATCTATCAAAATGGAGCGGTGGGGGAAGTTCAATTGTTTTTTAAACAAACCAAGATTTCTCCCGTTTATTCCGACCGATTTTAGCAAACTTAGGCTCATATAAAAGAGCATAATTAGCCCTACGACACGCTCATTTGGTTTTGAATTTTTGAATCTTGCTGTCGCCGCTAGATAACGTTAACTGAAATGTTAGCAAATTTTAGAGTTTTTTTTCAAAAAAAACAAATTTAATGGTATATTGATTTCTATATGTTTTGAAAGAGGATAAATTTCTCTATAATGTTATCAAAATAATTTATCATCTACCTTTTTTTGAACCGTTGATATTGACCAAAATATAATTTTATTACATTGAAAAATGGAAATTTGTCTCATTGATTTGTTATTCTACATGGTTGCCGAAGAAATAGTGTACGCAACAGGTCCAAGAACAGTTTTTTTGGACTCGGCCTAGAATTTTTCTAATCGTCCTAAAAAACAGTATTTCCGGACTTGTTACGTGTATTACTTGTTTGAAATGAATATTTTTACTCCAATATTGTTTTTCAGTATCTCTAATTTTTTGGAATTAATTCCATAATCGATTTACAATTCCACAATTTCGATTGAAATAAATATTCTCTTAAGGTTTCTGAGATCCCAAGTTTCGAATCTTCAACACTCTGAAAATTATATAAAATTAGAAACAATGTTGATTAAATCATCGTGATTAATAATGATCGTTGAACAATTGACTCCATTGTTATTGAATCTTTTTTTTTCTATGATATGAGGACCTACAAATTTCCTGATAACAGTGATTTCTATTCAGTTTTTCAATAACTACCTACAAGGTTATTCAGAATTAGAGAACATTACCTTCATAGGAGAACGATGCAAATGAGGACAAATGAATATCAGATAAAGAATATTGATAATATTGAAGAGGAATTATGAACATGAAAAAATAAATACATACTTATGAAGAAATACATTGAGAATCCGCATTCTCTATGTGATGAAAATATTAATTCCTCCTTGATACATTCAACAGAAAACAACTACTTTCCTGGCCATATATACCACGACGAACATTGAATTATATCTATTGAACAAATAATTCAATGTTCGTCGTGGCATATATAGCACCAGAAGTAGTTGTTTTCTGTTGAATACATACTGAGAAAGCATAAATATTTTCATCACACAAATAAAGAATGCGAATTCTCAATGTATTTCTTCATATTATATATATCCATTATTTCATGTTCATAATATATGTGAAAATTTTCCTTTTCAACACTTTCATACCCAATCAAGGGATTCAATCTTGAACGATGGAAACTTGTTGGGTTTTCTCACTTTAAAATTTGTTTCCACGTCCTGAATGATATCGAAAATGGCTCTGAAGTGTTCTTCATATCCATCATTGAAGGAGTTTTTCATTATTATTATTATAATTATTCAGTAGGTAGGTGAAGTGAAACGTAGCTAGAGGGAAGTTGAGTGATTTTTCCGAAAATTCGCGAGACACATCAACGTTTTGAGCAATAAGAAGAATATATCCGTCCAGGGATAACTGAAATCAGCCCCAACATGTTTTTTTCTTAATTGCAACCCCATGGCTTGTGACCCCTCATTGGAAAGCTGGTTGAAAGAGGAATCCAGCGTACTGATCAAATTTCAGTTTGCAGTACTTTTGGAGGTCACATAAAATCAAAATCAGTTTTTACTGATAGTGATATAAGATATTTTCACCAGTTTGCAATAACACTGTGTATAAAAACAGAATTTATTTTTGCTGTTTTATAAAAATACTGGCATACAATAGCAGATAGCAGATGTGGCAAAAACTAGATATGAATTGTTCAACACACCACTTCGAGCAATTGTTGCGTTGAAAATAAATCAGATTCATTCATCTTTCCCCCAGATTTTCGAAGAGGATTGGTTGAATTTGAAAAAACATGTTGAGGGTGGTTTCAGCTACTCCTGAAGGGATATTCTCCCGATATTGCTTGCAAAATCGTTGACGTATGTCAGGAATTTGTAGAAAAAATATGCACCTCCTCCCTAGCGAATTTGTTTCCAGTTAAAGTCTCCACACCTCGATCCACACTGTATATTATTCCATATTCGATAAGGGATTTTGGATACGAATTCAATAAAATGTTTCGAGGATATTTTCGGAAATTGTTTTGTTTGATAGTTGATGCATGAATTGAAAATATTATACAATATCATATTTTTATTCTGAAATTTAGTTTTCAGAGTAAATGTTTACAAGAAGTGACGTGCGGTAATATTATTGTGATAAATAATACTCACACGAGCTATTCTATAATAACATTTATATTTATATTTATATTTTCCTTATAAAAAAAGAGGTGAACATCCGATACGTACTTTGATAAAACCCATAACATTCGAAAACGAACAAAGTCAATCAATAATAACCTCCTGATAACTAACCAAACCAGAATCTTTACAAGTGGACACAGTCTAAAAATATATAAACACTCGCTGCAATTCTAAAGTTAGTTCACTACACAAAGACAATACCTATAGATAGATCAGGTATCATCCTCAAATAATCAGCTTAAAAAATCAAGATCGCTCACCTAATTTTTTTTTGTTGACTTAACTAGTATCACAGCTAACTTGAAAAGTAAAATCGCTGAAGGAAGTTTTTTGTACACAAACAATTCTCGCCAATATATATACAGTCACATTCACATCACCGGTATGTACTCTAGGTACAAACAAACGAATATGACAGATCAAGGCATGCTTGATAAATATAAGAGCATGGAGAACTCAAGATTACGACTGCGATTTTACATTTTACCCCCACACAGCCTGGTCGTTTGGTGATTCACTTCTACTGAATGGTTTCGGCAATTGAATATTGGCTAGTTGGAGCATATACGTTATTTTGCATATTTTAAGATACGACAACAATATTTACAAACATTCTAATAGAGCTTTGCTTCCTGGAAACGTTTCGAACGTGAACGAAGTTACATCAGATTGATGAATACACCCCCCCATTACTCATTTAGTGTCACAGTCATATGATTGAATGGTCCTCTAGATTTTTGGGCTTTTCTCCTCGTTACAGGGTGTTTTTTCATTGATTCATCAATGTTATTATATCAACTGAACAGGAAGAAATGATAGTATCATCCCCGATCATAGGAATTTAGCCATATTATTTTCTGGTTGTAAACATCTTTTAGTTTGATTTCAATATGTCTCTGAAGCTTGACATAAATCAACAGAGCCATCCAGCAGCAGGAAAAATCATCATGGAGGATTTCAATAAACACCACTGCTTGGCTCAGATACTCCAACAAAACGGATGAAGCTGGGTGACAAGCCGAAGCTTCCGTCATCACTCGCGGCTTAGAGCAGCTCATCAAAGAACCCACAAGAATTCCAAGTGCCAATAACCAACCAGCCAACATACTTGATCTATTGCTGACCAATAGAGTACCACTGGCAGTTTTGACCATACGCTCATATCCACAACATGCCCATTTTTCATTCAACTGCTGCAGCACCCCCACACACTTGTATGGCATTATGATTCAGGAGACTGGAACAATCTCCGCATGTTTCTTTTCGAGTTTGCTTGGCTCAAAATATGCTTTGATTCTGTGAATCCCCCACAGTGTGCTGCGGAAATATCCAAGATCATTACGCTGAGGAAGGACACAAACGTACCTCATTCTCAGAAAAGAACATCAACTTCAAAACATTGGTTCAACATGAACTGTTCTAGAGCTGTTGCCTTGGTGCAAACAGCCACCCATCGCTGGCGTAAAAACCTTAACCTCGTGACTAGAACAGAAACAATAGATGCATCAAACGAAACCTACAATATCCCAAAGATACATCGAAACTCAAAGATTGTCCAAATGGCTTCCGTTCGGTTTGGTCCTTTCCTAGAGCAAACGGAAATTCTTCCCTCAAGGTACAATCAGACGCAATTGCTTGGTCTCCAAATGAAAGCTCTTGATGCTATGCTACCCATAATTCTCAAAGAGTATGCACCAAAACTGAAACCGATTCCGAATCCTGAACAAAGGAAACAAAAACCTGCTCAACAACTATAGGCCTATTGCCCTGTTTTCAGTTACCTCTAAAGTGAAGGAAAAAGCGATCAACAATGAGCTGATAAAATATCTGGAAAGCTCAGGCATCAATTATGATAGACAATACGGCTTTCGACATCGCAGATCAACTGCAGATTTACTTCCCTGCGTAGTTCAGTACCGTCTGATACCATAGCAATCAATTTCGGCTTTCCACAAGGATCAATTTTGGCATCAACATAGCTCCAACTTCATTTCCTGTTCTGAGTAACTACTTGCCATATCCACAGCTCTGCAGATGATAGTACTTTTCATACTGCATTTCTCATCCAGAGGAATCCCATTTCTTCTCAGGAAACTGAGAACTCTCTACTACGCAGCTGTCAATGAAGATCTTACTGATATTACAGCTTGGAAAACCATAACAACCTTGTTGAATTCAACGTCACAAAAACTCAAGCTTGCAACATTTTTGCTAGGAAGTCGGAACTCAGTATGCCTGATATATCAATGTCTGGTACCATCATTTCCACAAAGCCCACTATAGCTATGCTCGGTATATTTCCATGAGCAAAACTCTTTCATGAGGAAAATCATGTCAGATCCATCGCGAAAGCTGCTTCACAAAAACACGGATTCTTGTTCCGTGCAAAAATCTACTTTGTACCCCAACATCTCATTATGATCTACAAAGCACAGATAAGGCCAATTTCGGAATAATGTTCCCACTTATGGGTTTCGGCACCCAAATATACGCTGATGCTCTTAGATTCTGCTAGTTGGTGATGCCACACTCACTAGTTATTCAGCCTCATTAGAACACCGTAGGAAAGTCGGCGATCTTTTTGGAATTATTTGCCAATGGGAGTATTCCCAAGAACTTCTAACCTCCAATAGCTGAGAAAAAAATTCAAAACCATCTTCCTCTCTGTATCCTCTCTACGTAAGCACGGTGTTCTTCGAACATTATTGGGATTTTCACTCGTGAGCTTCAAGAGATGAAAAAAAAAGATTCTGTTGACACTGTTTCCAGTTTAGCTCAGTGGGTTTTACCAACAGAATACGTTGAAATACTGCAAATAAGGAGAATCTTGATAAGAAAAGATCATTCAATTTACACTGAAATAATCTCATTATATGTCCTCATATTCTGTGTTTTACTCAGATTGTCTCTGATACGACCTATTTCACTTACTTTCCGTTCCTCTTGAAATAGTTATTCAAATACACCAAGGTAGTGAAGAATATCCCCAATTACCCAAGAACAATGATTATAAGGTCCCTAGGTGATGAATTCATTTTTCTACCAAGGGTCTTTCATGAACTACTAGTCGATAAAGACATAGCCACCTCTGTTATAATTAACACGAATGTACTGTTTTGATGCGAGATTTGCTAGAATCTAGTAGGTATTTATCCATATTATGCTGTCATGGTAGTGGCTACTAGATTTTGATTAGCATTGAAAAGAAGTGCTTTCATAGTGACAATAGGTCCATATTCCAATTTCACAGAATCATAATGATTGAAATATACTGCTAGTGGTGGAAAAAATTCAATACACACCTCGGTATATAGTAAATATTGTTATTACCACGGGACCTTTGCATCTTTCATGGGTATTTAACATGTCCTAGCCAATATCATCTAATTGTGCTCGTATGCTGCGGCGTCACCAATCAAATTTGAATTTGCATTCGAATTTGATGATTTCAAACGGTTAGTAAATGCATGGAAATAGTTTTCAAAAATGTTATATCGTGAAAAAAAATGCATACGCCGCCCTTGTGTAGAAAGTCCCAAAATTATTAACGGATCATCTGATAAAGAGAAGGATATTCTTGAACAAATATTTACATGCGCAGTGGTAATTTTAGAAAAATGCAAATTTTCAATGAAATTCAAAATTTGGTTGGTCAAGCCGCTGCAAGCGAACACAAATAGATAATTGTCTAGAACATGTTGAAAATCAATGAAAATTATGACTTGAAAGATGCATGCACACATTGAAAAAACGCTGTCATTGCTGGCCAGTCTATATTATTTTCATTATTCCAGATTTTTTTGGGATATTCCCATCCCGTCTCAATAAAATAAAAATAGGAATACTATTTCGATATACGTGTTTGAGGACAAATCAGACGACTTGTCCCAAAATGTCACAACGTTTAAGGAATTTTCCTATCAGAGAGCCCAAAAGAAAAATTCACTAGCTTGTCAGTGACAATTTGTAATAAAAAAGGTTTGGAGAAGAGAAATGAAGGTATACAGTAAAAATATCAGATGTTCACTTATCTTTGGAAGTTTCGGGAACGAATCTGCTTCCGTTTCCAACATGAAAAATGGATTTTTCTGCATTCAAAATTGATATAAAGAGATTCGACAGTTATCTCATAGTTTGATTATTAATTTTTGAGGAATTTTCAACAATTTTCAGTAAACTCCTGGAATAACACTGAATTGGTTCACTGAAATAATAGTTTTTGAATTGAACTATTATTCCTTGTCGAATAATCATTGTTTTACTCACAAAAAATATCTCTGGAATGAGTTTTCCTATATCCAGGAAGTTTTGTTTGTCAAGTTTATGAACTCTAGATTGTAAAAAAGGCGGAAGTTTGCCCATCTCTAATTAGGCACCTCATTGCCCTCTGATAATAATTATGAATCTGTTTGTCCTGATCAATAATGTATGAGTCTTTCTTGAATAATAAATATAAATCAGGATATTCAGAACGAACTCCAATGATTAGAAATATAAAAATACCGAAAACAATACAATATTCATCGATATTCAATGAATAAAACTATGCCAAATATTATTGCGCAATATTTTGACACATGGAGTAAAACTAATTACTGAATGCATTATTCAGTGATTCAATGGAAAATTTTGACATTATGGACAGAAAATACAGTTTTTTATGAGACTTTATAGTCAAGTCGTGAGAACCAAGGGAAATAAGCTAGGAATTGGTGTTCTTCTTGAATTTCTGGAGGTCTCATGCCTCGGGGAGCACCTCCCTTGGCAATGTGTTCCAGAGCCTAACTGTTCGTTGAATGAACAAGTCTTTGGGAAGAGATATTCTGCAGGTCTCCAAAGTGACCACGAAGGGGTGCGAAACCTCAACTCGACGGGTTAATCTCGCGGGGACTGCCAAGGGAGGAACAATTGTTGATATTTCAGAAGGACATCGTCAATGAAAATATCTATAAAATGGAGCCAGATCGCCGACTTTTCTACAGTGTTCCAGAGAAGTGAGTGAGTTTGTGAGCGAGGCATCACGCACGAGACGAATCGCCCTTTTTTAAACAGAATTCAACAGTTTCAGGGTATGTTTGGGTGCTGCACTGTAAATATGGGAACAGTATTCCGAAACAGGTCGGATATGTCCCTTATAGATCATAAGCAGCTGACTGGAAGTGAAATAGCTCCTGGCCCGAAACAGAAAACCAAGTTTCTGGGATGCACTTTTAGCAATTGATCTCACGTGATTTTCCCAAGGAAGGTTATTGCTGATAGTAATACCAAGCATCGAAATGGATGTCTTCAAAGGTATATGGTTACTCCTGACAAGCTTATGTTGGGCACAGTGAGATCGGCTTTTCTAGAGAAAAGGCATGCTTGTGTTTTGTTTGCATTGAAATCTACCAAGTTATTGGATCCCCATTCGAGAATTGTTGCCAAATCCATATTTATGTTGTCTACATTTCTCCCTCGTTCG